GTATATATAATTATATATATATAGTATTATATATAGTATATATAATCAGCTTCTCAAGCAAGAACCATCATTAATGTCCTTTTTACCCTTCCAGACTAAGTGAGAGACAGTGTGATTTATTTAGAGCAGCAAAAGTGACTGAGCTGCAGTGAACTCTTAAAACATTCCATTGGAGATCCTTAAGTTCTTTTCCTGAACTACAGCACCTCTGATGTTTTTCTCAATACTGATCAGACACATCATAGTACAAATAAATGGTTTTGTGAAAGTCCTATATGTATTTAGATATGCACAGGCTAAAATAGTTATCTCGTATGTCATGTAAACAAAATGTTATCTGTACATTCTAATTATAGATTATATCAATTTGTCATTATAAAGATTCCTATTTGTTTATTACAAGATACTTAATAGAGAAAATTCTCACTTAGCATAATTTAGCCTCGAAAAACCCCTAAAATATATATTCCTACTTTTACTTTACAAATGCCTAGATACATTAAGTATTTTCTTTGACTTTTTTTGCTTAGGAGTATCTCCTCCTCCTGGAGCTGTGTTAGTCTTGCATTCTCTTCCCCTTGAATTCCCCCTGGCAATGGCATTCACAGAACAGCTATTAACTTGGAAGTTGGAAGATGGGGATGGAAAATCAGAAGATGAACTGGATACTATTCCTGCTTCAATTCTCTTGCAAGTAGTGGAATTTTTAGGTGAGAATGTAATATTTACTTAGTAATGAGCACCAATAATATGCTGGATGGAGAGTTTAGGGAAAAAAAAACCAAAAACAAAACAATTGCAAAGTGTTTCTGAGCTCTGCCATTATGTTGAAATTTTATTCAAACTCCAGAAATTTTCTGTTGATATGCACTTCTTGGAATGACCTTCCTGTATTTCTTACTGCTGACATATGGCCATTGCAACAACCTTTTCTGTTTTTTTTTTAATTTTTTATGTTACTGTTGCAACTCAAGCTCTTAACAGTGAAATACTGCTGACTCCCATGTCTTGTCTTCTGCACACAGGGAACTTTCTCTGGACAACTGACATGGCAGCATGTGTGAAGGAATTAATATTTCATCTCTTGGCTGAGTTGCTTCGTAAAATTCACAATCTGGAGCAGAAAAAAAATCCAGCAGGATTGTCATCTTCTATTGCCCTTCAGTTAAATCCCTGTCTAGCAATGCTGATGGCCCTGCAGTCAGAGCTTCACAAGTTGTACGATGAAGAAACACAAAACTGGGTGTCTGGAAACGCGTGCAGTGGTTCTGGTGTTGGAGTGGCTGACCAAGGAAGATTTTCAACGTACTTCCATGCTCTGATGGAAGTCTGCCTTGCTGTAGCAGAAGTAACCTTACCTATCAATATGAGTGTAACAGCTAACGTGATGTCTTCAACAAGTGCCCCAAATCTTAGTGACTCTTCATCCTCGTCTTCATCTTCTCCAGGACAGACACCGCAGAGTCCAAGCTTGCTGTCAAAGAGGAAAAAAGTCAAAATGAAGCGGGAAAAGACGTCGTCTTCAGGCAAACGTTCTTCATCCAGAGCAGCTGAAACAGATGCTGCAATCCTCAGCATAGGAGGAAGCAAACCTGAGGATATGTTATGGTTTCATAGAGCGCTGACTCTGCTTATAATTCTCAGACACCTGACTAGAAAGGATCCACAGGGGCTGGGTGTGACAAACGATGCTGTAGCAGATGCGTGTCAGGCGCTAGTGGGTCCCACAGCTCATAGCCGCTTGCTCGTCATCTCTGGAATACCGACGCACTTGGAGGAGAGTACTGTCAGGAGTGCCATCAGGAAGGCCTGTAACGCGCATGGTGGAGTCTTCAAAGATGAAATCTACATCCCTTTGCAGGAAGAGGAACCAAAAAAAATCAAGGACAAAGCAGAAGGTGGAGAATGCAGAACTGAACTGGAAAAACCAACTGTTTCGAGTAGCGCGGACAGTTTGGATATCAGCAGCTCTAGCAGTGTCACACCCGCCATGAGCGTGAGCGCTTCAGCCTCCACGAGCCAGGCTTCCCTCTGCAGCTCGCAGGGAATCTCTCGAACCGTTAGTGATATCTCAGTTGACCAGTTTCAAGCAGGACTGGAACTGGCCATCCCACCAGGATTGCTAGAACCACATGTTGTTTCCAGCCAGGAGAGTCTGGATCTTTCACACTGCAGTACCGGAAGCCTTGGCAGCCTCGGCAGCCTCGGGGAACCGCTTGACAACGCCGAAACAGCGTCTGTGTCTGATGTTGGATCGATGTACACAGTCACATCTCTGGACAACCAGCCACTTCTGTCACGGCCCATCAAAGGTTTTGCTGTAGTGGAGGTAATGGCCTTCAGTCAGAGGGTGCCTTTTGGGCCAGGTTTTTTTCTGAGAGAATGAGATCTGATTCTAATAACTGTTTGGTTTTTTTTTAACCTCTAGCTTTAAGAAATACCATAGTTTTTGTGGTCTGTGTGTAACACCATGATCTGCCTGTTAAGGAAAAAGTGTGCTCTATGTTTTCTTTTATAAAGATTATTCACTGAGGCCACAACTTGAATGGTGGAGAGTGAAAAGTACAGTTAGCAAAGTGTGGTTCAGCGTAGGTCATGGGCACAGAATAAATGTCTGTCAATGTGCGTGCAAGACGAAGGAGATGAGGAGTTCTCAGCTTGGGCAGGATGGCTGAGGAACACAGAACTTTCTTCTCCATTGGCTTTCTCTGTATCATTGACAATCTTAGAAGTGTTTATGGTCTCTCAGAGGACAAAAGGGACCTAACAGTGGAGTTACCAAGTATCAGTTTTAAAACCAAAGGAGGTGCTCTTGCATGTTCCCAGTTGTAGAGCTCATTGCCACAAGGTGTTGTGGAAGCCAAGACTATAAATGGATTCATAAGGGATTAAGTTCATGGAGGATGTGCAAATTAAATTGTTCAGCACAGCAGTCAATGCAGCCTTCAACTTAGGAAATCTTTAAACTGCTGATTTCTGGAGGCTGAGAGAATGTGTAAAGGAAAAGATCTCTTCATTGCTTCTTTCATGTGATGTTCTTCAAAGATTTGCTACTGGTCACTGCTGGAGATCAATTTAGATTAATTGTAGTTTGACCCACAAGGCAATTATTTAATTTTTAATGAGCACATTTTGTCATCTCTTAAACCATTTACAGATTCCTTTATAAAGTTACTTGAGAAGAGAAGATAAATTGTGTCGATGTCTGGTTCCAAATTAATTTTTAAAAGCATTGTGGGCAATTGTCATTGATGCCAGATCACTCCAGGTTTTTCAGCTTTGCACAAGAACACTGCCTCTCTTGTTACACTCACTGCAGGCTGCTTGCAAAAGCTCAGCCATTTCTGATAGCTTGTGAATGTAGAGAGGCATTTTTGCATAGCCTGGGATTGTATCAGTTTCCCTTTCAGAAGGAAATCAGCTTATTTAGACAGAAAATCTTCCATTGCTGTTCTTAAGCTATTAATTGACATGAAGAGTTTAAATAAACCATGTGTACAGGAAGCTGTCAGCATATTCACATTGAAACCTACTCGAAGTCTGTAGCTGCTTTGATGCTGATCATGGTGGTTATTCTTGGAATCAAAGGAAGTTATTGTTCCTCTTCCCACTTTCTGTAGCTGAGACTTCAAGGCTTGTGCTAATTTAGATAGATTTTTCTAAATGGAGAATTGAAGCAAGGACAGCAGAGTTGCAGATAGTGACAGGTTGCCTATCTGAAACTTTCAGCTTCTTACCTGATATTTCTAAGGGCTTAGTCTCCAGACTAAGAAATGGAATAGCTGGTTCAGAACTGTGCCTGATGAACTCATCACATGGTGATTTCAGTGGCTGGATATTCTTAGAAAGGATGTTTTCTAGGCTGAACCTGAATTCTAGTATCAAATGATTGATGTAGAAGAGATGCAATAGTGATTATCCACATGGGGAGGGGAGAAAAATTAAGACCCAAATTAATATAAATAGAAGATAAATTGTTTTGTTGGAATTTCTGTTAACTAATTTCACTATTTATACAGATAAGGTCAAGAGCTAAAATAGAGAAAATCCGAGCCAGTCTATTTAATAGTAGTGACCTCATTGGTTTGTCAAGTCTGGATGGTGAAGATGAACTGATGGAAATGTCAACTGAAGAGATTTTAACTGTTTCTACTGTAAATCAGAGTTTATTTGATACACAAGGGAGCCCAGCACTGGAAGATTATTTCAATGATAAGTCAGTGAAAGGTATGTGGTTTTCATATTGGCAGTCTCTCATTTGTACTGTGCTTGGGGGTTTTTTTGTGGTTGGGGGTTTTTTGTTTGGTTGTTTGGTTGATTCTTTTTTGGACATATGGGGTCAGATTCTCCTTGCTGGTGTAAATTCAGTGTGACTCACTAGTTGTTGGGTAACAACGAGGCAGGGAGCCAAGGAGTAATTTCAAAGCGAGTTTCCTCGCTGTCATCAGTTGGCAAGCAGCTATTTGCAATCTGAACATTGCTCAACTGCCCTCACAGCTAATCAAATGGTAAAAAAAAACAAAACAAAACAAAACAAACCTCCCCACCAACCCAGAAAGCTCTGAGTTTAGTACCTTTTTTGAGAAAATAGCCACTGTAATCATTTACCACTGTTAGACCCAGCATAATTTTAGAGGAGAAACTATTCAAGTAGAAGAGCCAGTAAATTATATTTTCTAACAACATGAAAGCTATACAGACTTTTATATTTATATTTATATTTATATTTATAT